TCCTCCTCCTCCTCCTCCTCCTCCTCCTCCCCTCCTCCTCCTCCTCCTCTCATCGCTCCCCCCCCTCCTCCCCCCTCCTCCCTCCTCGCCTGGACCCGGCGACCCCTCCACGGCCTCCGCGGCGCCCCAGCGCGCGCGCGCGCCGCGCGGCGCGCGCTCGGCCGCCCGCGGCTCCGCAGAGGCACGCCGACCGTACCCGCTCGGGCGCGCGCGGCGCGGCCCGGCCCCGCGGCGTCCTCCGCATTGGGGGGGGGGGGGCGTGGAGGCCGCCGCCGCTCGCCCCCCCGCCGCCCCTCTGGGCCTCCCGCCGCCGCCCCCCCGCCGCCGCTCGCCCCCCCGCCGCCCCTCTGGGCCTCCCTGGGTGGGGGCTCGGAGCAGGGTGGGGTCGGGGGAGCGCGCCGCAGCGCCGAGGCATCGACGCTGCGGCCCGACGTGCGGCCCGATTTGCTGCACGTCGTCGTCGCCGATGCATCGCCGACGTCGACGATGCATCGCTGGTGCATCGCCGATGCATCGCCGATGCATCGGCGATGCGGCGCGATCCTCCGACCCCATCTACCCCGACCCCATCTAGGAGGCCTCTAGCCCCCGCTCGCCCCTCTCCTGTGGGGGGCTGGGGGGCTGCCCGACGGAGGCCCGCCGCAGGCTGCCGGATGCCCTCGGAGGCTTGCCTTGGCATCGCACGTGTGCACGTTCTTCTCGGCGAGGACCATCGACGAGCAGCTTGGATCATCCTGCCAAGAAGAACACGCACGAAACCGAAAAACGCACGGGGAATGGACGTCCGAGCGATGGCGAGTTGTTGGGGGGGGGGGGTCGGAGGCCTCCCCGTGCTCCTGCCGCCCTTCGTTCTTGCTTTCTTGCTGCTCTAAGCTGAAAGGGCCGCTGTTTCCTGGGAGGCCTCATCTGATGCGATCGCTTCTGCCCTCTCCTCCTCCTCCTCCTCCTCCTCCTCCTCCTCCTCCTCCTCCTCCTCCTCCTCCCGTCTTCCTCGTTTTCTTTCCTTCTCGTCCTGCCCCCCACCCCTCCTCCTTCCTCCGCAAGCGCACATTCTGAATACTACTCTCATCCATCTCTCCCCTGAGTCTGCCTGGAAGAGATTCGGCCCTCTCTGCGTCTTGTTTTTCTACACTGGATTACAGTCATTGTTGTTTTTTCCTTCGGCATTTTGCAATATAATTGTTTTCGGTGGTTCAATATCGGCCTCATTTTCGGATCGGCGCTTTGCTCCCGTCGTTCAGAGTGGCGCGCTCGCCTCTGCGCGGGCCATTCTTCTGGATTCGATGTTTGTTTCATCCTTGTGGTCCCCCTGATTTCCCCTCCTCCGCCTTCCCCTGGTCCTCCCGGTCCTTCCACTCCAGCTCCTAGTGCTGCTGTTCTTCCTCGTCTTTCTCCTTCCTCCTCCTCCTCCTCCTCCTCCTCCTCCTCCCCCTCCTCCTGTCCCTCCTGCTCATCATCCTGCTCATCCGCCACCTCCTCCTCCTACCCTTCCTCCTCCTCCTCCTCCTCCTCCTCCTCCTCCTCTGCCTCCTCCTCCAAAAGTAAGCAGCTCCGGTTTTTCCGATTGCGCATGACACGATTGGGTCCGTCTTGGAGTTCCAGGTCCGCTGTGACACGCGTCGGCGGATAGAGAAAAAACAGCGCAATAGGAAGGCATGGGTGGCAGGGGTACGATGTCAGATATGGCGCGAACGCACCCAGCTTGCCCTTCTCCCTCTTCCCCCTCCTCCTCCCCCCTCCTCCCCCTCCTTCCTCCTCCCTCCTCCTCGCCGTCAATGTTGCTGGTGGCAGTCGGAATGCTCCCTCCATCCTCTTCCTCAGCCATTCCTCTTCCTGGTCGCACCACCAGACGTGTCGGTAATTGGGGCCAGCCGAGCGTTTCGTACGAGACTTCCTCACACTTTGTGATTCCGAGGCTTGACGTTATCACCAGTTACGCATGGAGGGCGTGCCGTTTTCAACGTTTTCTCCTCGCTTTGGCGCTGCGCATGTGTATGATGTACCATCTGTGATCGAATATTTTTAACGACGATCTATAACAATGGGGAGGGGGTTCGGCCCGGGGATCGCTGCTCAAGTACTGGGCCTTTCGGCCCTCCCCCTCCCCCCGCTGGGCGACTTATGGCCCCCCCGGGCGTGTACGCGTGCGGTGGGCCTTCAAACGTCTCAAAAAAAGGCTCCGAGACGGCCGCGACGACAACCACCACAACGAAAATCACATACGACGACGAAAACGACGACGACGACGACGACGACGACCACGACGACGACGACGACGACGACGACGACGACGACGACGACGACGACGACGACGACGACGACGACGACGACGACGACGACGACGACGACGACTACTACTACTACTACTACTACTCTACTTCTACTACTCATACGACTCATACTACTACTACTACTACTACTACTACTACTACTACTACTACTACTACTACTACTACTACTACTACTACTACTACTACTACTACTACTACTAACTACTACTACTACTACTACTACTACTACTACTACTACTACTACTACTACTACTACACTATACTACTAATACACTACTACTACTACTACTACTACTACTACTACTACTACTACTACTACTAACTACTACTACTACTACTGCTACTACTACGACTTACGACTACGACTACTACTGCTACTGCTACTGCTACTGCTACTACTCCTACTCCTACTACTACTACTACTACTACTACTACTACTACTACTACTACTACTATACTACTACTACGACTACTACTACTACTACTACTACTACTACTACTACTACTACTACTACTACTACTACTACTACTACTACTACTACTACTACTACTACTACTACGACTACTACTACTACTACTACTACTACTACTACTACTACTACTACTACTACTACTACTACTACTACTACTACTACCACTACCACTACCACTACTACGACTACTACTACTACTACTACTACTACTACTACTACCACTACTACTTCTACTCCTACTACTACTACTACTACTACTACTACTACTACTACTACTACTACTACACGACCACGACCACGACCACGACCACGACCACGACCACGACCATGACCACGACCACGACCACGACCACGACCACGACCACGACCAGGACCACGACCACGACGACCAAGACCACGACCACGACCACGATGACGATGACCACCACCACCACCACCACCGCCACGACCTGAGCGACGACGATGACAACGACGACGGAAGGAGGAAGAGGACGAGGAAGAGGAGGAGGAGGAGGAGGACGAAAAAAGAGGAGGAGGTCCAGAGTGGACCCAGAACGAATCAACGATGCTGCAGCCGACGACGACGGCCGTAATCACGGCGACAACGAATGCGACGACGACGAGAGCGACGCGACGACAGCTATGATCACGGTGGCAACGTTGACGATGACAACGAGAGCCAGCATTGCTTGCTTATACCCGAAGGGCAGATCAGGAGTGATAGATGGCTGAAGGGAATGTGACGTACAGGCAAGTCGGGATCACATACATAAGGACGTGCACTGATCACTAGGACTGGCAAAACTGCCTATAATCTCTTGCCCCAACTGCTGGCTCTTGGTATTAGTACAGCCCGTTCGTTTCTTCTTCTCCTCCTCCTCCTCCTCCTCCTCCTCCTCGTCTTCCTTCTCTGTTCCTCCTCCCCCGCTTTTCTCCCCTCCTGCCTTCCATCTCTATTTCGCCGTACTCATCCGCATGTTCCTCCTCCTTTTTCCATCTCCATCCTCATGTTTCCGCTCCTCCTCCACCCTCGCTCCTCCTCCTCCTCTTCCTCCTCCTCCTCCTCCCCCTCCTCTTCCTCATCCTCCTCCTCCTCCGGCTTCTTCTCCTCCAGTAGTTAAGCCCAACGTGATTGCCATTGCAGGCTGTTTTGGGGGCAACTTCGCTTGCTCGCCCCTTGCTAGTGCCGGTGCTGCATCGAGTTGGCTATACTTGCCGCACTGCCTGCCTGAAAAGTGTGATAGATGACGGTTCCTTCCCACCGATAGGAGGGGGAGCCACTGTGCCCAGGGAGCGTTCGGGAGCTTCCAATATGATTTCCAAAATCACGAGGGCTGCCCACTGGCTTGGAGTAAAGCTAGGTCTGGTTGCGTCCACCGCCACTTTGGCCGAAGCTGCTGCGGCGAGCTGCGACCTACCACCCCTGGCGAGAGCGCAAGGGCAGCGTAGGGATTCAGAAGGAGACGCGACGGACGGAGCCCGCAGGAGAGCCTCGACTCATCATTCGAGTTTCTGGATGCTCAGGCCAAGGTCTCGGCATCGCTCGGACGTGTGCATTTTTTCTTCGGCGCGGACCATCGAGGAGCATCCTCGATCATTTGGCGAAAAACCACGCACGAAATCGAAAAAAACACAGGGAATGGACGTCCGAGCGATGGCGAGAGGTGTCCAAGTTGCTCGGCTTCAGAGGGGCTGGCGCGCCCACCGGTGGAGGTCTGCGTGCCGAGGTGACGGCCGAGGCCCTCTGGGGAGCTGAGCACCCAGGGGCTCCCAGGACGGCAGGCGGAAGCCAGGCCGCCCAGAGGATGCTCGCTAGGATTGGCGTCGATGTGCACTTTACGTTGCATCTTCGGGGGACCTCGTGCGTCCCAAAAATTGGTGTCTTTTCGGGTGCCCGACGCGGGCTTGATGCGGACTCAACGTGTATTTGGGACGGATTTGACACGGATTCGACACAGACTCGACGAGCCCGACATGGATTCGACACGGATTCGACATTGATAGGGGCGCGAAGAGACAGACAAGACAAGGTCCCCCGAAGATGCAATAGATTGCACTTGGGGGGGTGACTTAAAATCCTCTGGTGCAGGTCTCGGCTGATGCGATCAAGACTTTTGTGCAGATTCCCAAGGACTTGCATGTAGCATTTTCTAAGGACTTGGCTCTGGCCCAAAGGACCCAGCCATGGCCCCAGGTTAAGGACCCTATCTCAGCTCTGGTTTCGACCTGCTTCAGGATGGGCCTCAGGTTTGACGGGCCTTTCGCCCTTCGGGAGACCTCGGGACAGACGTGGGACATTCGGCCAGTTTCACCTGCGTCTGTGGCTCGCAGCGCCAAGTTTGCCGCTGAGGAGGTCGTCGGGCATCGCGGCCCTGGACAGGAAAGGCCCAGCCGAGGCACGGAAGGGCCTACTGCAGGCCGCTCGATGAGCTGCTGCTTCATCAGGGAATGGACGCGTCGAGCGATGGAACGGTTAGGACTACGGGGGGGGGGGCGGTGGAGGGCTGCAGAGAGCAGTAGGCTCCCACTGGTGCCAGCACTGGTGCCAGCACTGGTGCCAGCACTGTGCGCTGCTCGTGGGCTCCCACTGGTGCCAGCACGGGCTGCATCGAGGCGCCGAGGCGCCATCGCGCCGTCCATCCTTGGACCGGCCTCTGGGCCGCGGTGGCGTGTCTCTCTGCCTGTGCGGCACCGGCATGATGCCGACCTTCCCCCTGGGAGTCCCGGCAGCCTTCCTCGAGATCAAGCGCAAGTCTTGATCCGACCCCCTCGCCCCCGAATCTCGGTGCTGGTGGACGCGTGCAGCGCGGCCCGCGGGGTCAACCAGATAAGTGCGGTCGCCAGTGTCGGCGTCGGCATTGACATTGGGGGGTCCGGGGGCGTCGCCATGTCGTGGGAAACACTTGCGTTCGATTTCGAGCAGGGATGCAGTTTGCGGCGAACAGGGCGCCCTGTTCTACCGTCACTTTCGCTGCCCGTCCAGACAGGGATGGCGCAGAGACATAACTTGCTTTGCCCTGTGAAGGCGGCTGCCTCCAGACTGTCCTCCTCCTCCTCCTCCTTCTCCTCCTTCTCCTTCTCCTCCTCCCCTCCTCCTCCTCCTCCTCCTCCTCCTCCTCCTCCTCCTCCTCGAGAAAAAAAGATTCGCCCGAGGGATGCTGGCCGACCCGTGCCAGCTCCTGTAAAGGAATCCTCGGGACCCGTCCGCGGAGTTTCGGGCCGAAGGGGCCTCGGGCTCACCGGGACCCACCACGCTGAGCAGCGGCCACGTTCTTCTGTTGCGCCTCGGGTATTGGTGGGCCTGTCCCCCTCGTTCCCAGTGGCTGGATGGGGGTCGCTGCCTTTGACGAGAGCCGTCGCTGCATTGCCGAAGGGTTTGGCTCGGTTCCCCTGGCAACACCTTGTTCATTTCTAATTCTTCTGGAGTTCCTTGACTTTTTGGGGGGCCAAGATCCTTTCAGTTCTAATTGTTCTATCCTGGGCCTCTTCCTGGCCACTAGGGGGCCAGGAACAATTAGAAACGAGCGCAGTTAGAAATTAGCACGACTAGAAATGAACGACGTGTACTTGCCCAGATCAGGTGGCGTGGGATGGGGAGCACCATGCAGTTTTTGTGGCGTCAAAGTTGTGCGCAGGTGTCTATGCCTTGCACTGCGGCTGCAAGGGCATCCTGGCCTGTTGCTTCTCGAGGGCCCATGCGCTCAGTCCAGGCAACTCGAGAGCTCACCCTTGGCAGCAGATTTGGGCAGCAGGTGTTTTCGAGAATGTGGAGCTCAAAAGGCTCTGGCCATGTAGCCGCGCGTGATGCAGGGACGGTCTGCTTTTTGAGTTTGAGCGCGCTGGACATCCCTGTTCGGCCCGACGGGCCACACCAGGGGCGAACCTGGCCAGATACGAGCCCGCAGGTTGTGCTCGCAGGTTGTGCCGAGTGCCAACGGTCTCTAGAGTGCACGGCTCGGGCGGAGGAGGAGGAGGAGGAGGAGGAGGAGGAGGAGGAGGAGGAGGAGGAGGAGGAGGAGGGGAGGAGAGGAGGAGGAGGAGGAGGAGGAGGAGGAGGAGGAGGAGGAGGAGGAGGAGGGTGTCCGCTGCAGTGGCCAGGGAGTTTTTCTGCGACAGTTTGTGGGGGGGGGGCGCAGGGCCGCACGCTTGTCTCCCTCTGTTGTGGAGCCCGCGCAGGGCGGGAGACACGGCGGGAGCCCCCCCGGGGGGGAAGCTTGCACGCAGATGTTTCAAACAGTGGGTGCACCGCAGTGTTGAAGCAAGCTGTAGGCATCTCGGGCAGTGTTCACGCGACGGTAGACGCAGCGCAGTCTGAATCGGGCCGGAGGCGCACGCTGCGCCACCACGTTCTCTCACCGTGATTCTCCAAGTGCTTCTGTCTAGTGTATTGTCTAATGTACTTTCCGCGCTCTGTCTGTCCACGCACCGCCTGGTGTACAATTCGGAAGGAAGGAAGAGTGTTGGGGATATTGCTTCGACGAGGGTCGGTATCCATCGTTGGGGCCGTGTTGGCGTCCCGCGGGGGGTCATGTTCAAAGCGCCTTCCGAGGTAGATTGTCGAGGACATCTCGAGCGAAACGGTCATTCTTGAGACTCGGAGTCCCCTCCGAGGCTTCTTTGTCGAGGCAGTCCTTAGCGAAACGGCCATTTTTGAAATTCAGAGTCCTCTCCGAAGCCGATTTGCCAAGAATTCCCCGAGCGAAGCAACTATCTTTGAGACTCCGAGTCCCCTCCGAAGCCGAGTTGTCGAGGATGTCCCGAGCGAAACGGCCAGCTGAGGCCATGGGAGCACGTTTCAGATGTACTTGTGCATGCCCCAGGAGAGTCGAAAGTGCCAAGCATCCGCAGTTTTACGTTTCCCAGGAGCCTCGAGGCGCATGTCCATCGTGTTTTAATGTGCGCTGGGAGCCTGAGGGCGCAGATCGCATTCATCTTCACGTGTCCAAAGGAGAATGGAGGTGCGGCTGTCCTGCGGAGTGCGCGAAGCCCCTTCTCAGCATGCCTTCAGCATGTTTCTCCCCCTCCTATCATTCATCATCTCGTCATCTACAGCGGATACCCATGCCAAGAAGCACCCTGCTCGCCTCCAGGGTGCCCTGGGTTTCTGGGGTTTCGATGGCTTTGCCGTGGCAAGCGTGGCGCTCCCACACCAAAAATCCATGGACGTCCTGGGGTCTCAGGGTTGGGCTTCCTGTGGAAGGTTTCTTGTGGACTGGCCTCCACTGTCGTCCATCATCTCATCATCGATCCTCGACGCCTAACACGGCGTGGGCCTGCAGAGGGGCCCCGCCGGTTGAGCTGAACGCCCCTTGAGAGGCGGCAGCCGCCGCCGCCCCACCTTACCTGGATCGTGGATTTCGCGGCACCCTTGTGGCTTGACTTCTCGGCGGTTCGCTTGCATCCGCGGTTGGAGTCGGGCTTCTTCTCGGCTTCTCTTGTCGTGACGGCTGGGCACACCCGCAAATCTTGCCCCACGTGTGCGGCCATATGGTCGTGAGGGGGTCAGGCATTCCTGGGGGCCCACGGCTTCGGCGACGGCACGTTGAAGGAACAGCTTCTTTGCGAACTTCGTGTGTGTCTCTTGGGAGGTCTTTCGGGGGTTGGGGCGGAATCTTTTGTGGCCCCCCCTTCGGTGTGTCGGTGGCATTCGCGGCGCTCGCCTGGGTCATCTTCGGGGCCTTTGCGACGTCAGATCTCCAGCCCAGGAGGGGCCAGAACACACCGAAGAACTTGACCTAGAGTGGGGGCGCCAAGAGATTGGATGTTTTTCGCCAGGGCATCTCAGGTTTCTTCGCTCCGCGCGGCCCGCGATGGTTTCTTCGCTCCGCGCGGCCCGCGATGGTTTTTTCGCCCCTGGGCAGGAAGCCCGGACCCTGTGCAAGACACCTTGTGGCTTTTCGGGGCTGGGCTTCCTGTGACGGCTTCTTGCGGCCGTGCGCCCACTGTATCCCAGGCTCGTTTTCCTCGTCCTTCCTCTCTGCTTCGTCCTCGCGCCGGCTGCCGCCTCCTCGCGGCCGTTGCCTCTGCAGCCTCGCCGCCTCCCTGCGCAGGCTGCGCGTTTCGCCTGCCCTGCTGGCCCCTCTGGGTGCGCGTCCCGCTTCCCGCCGCCCCTCGCTGCTCGCTCGCCGCCGCCCGCGCGGCCAGCGCCCTCTGCCTTCCTGTTCGCAAGCCTTAAGTCGGGCCTGTCCCTCTACAGGAGGAATCTTCAAAAATAGTCAAAACACAGTCTGGGGACTATTTTTGGGGGCATTCATTTTGAGCATTTGGGGAGCATGTTTTTGTATATGTTTTATTTCTCGTCGAAAATCCCCCTGTAGGGGGGACACGCCCGACCTAAAGCTGGGGCCCTCGGGTGTCGATGCAGCTGCCCGCGGCAAGTCCCCGCTCTGCGTCGGACCAGCATGCTCGGCGGCTTTTAGCTCGAGGGGGCACCAGAGGGCGCTCTCGCGAGGGACGAACAGCATGACAACGATGATGAGGCCGATCCTGACGAGGCTCGTGGAGATCTCGTCGGAGGCCTCACGGTGGCCTGTTGGAGGCAGTTCTGAGGCCTCTTGGAGGAAATTTTGGTTTGTTGGGGCTCCGTTGGGGCGTCTGGGGCTCGGAGCCCTCCCGCAGCTCTTTGGAGAGGGAATTGGCGTTTGTTGGGTTTGTGCTGGTGCGTCTGGGGCTCCTTTTGGTGCCATTTCGGGGCACTTCAAGGGTCCCTTTGGGAGTTCTGGGGGGGCTCTTGGGGTCATGCTGCCCAAGATCTTGCACAAGGCTGGGGTGAACGATGGGCACGGGAAGGGGGGGAACAATTCTTCAGGCTTGTCTTGGGTTTTGGGAAGGGCCCCCGGGGGCTCTCGGGAGGTGCCCGAGAGGGTCAACCAAGAGGCACCGAGGAGGAGGCCCAGACGGCCGAGGACGGCGCCGCGAGGCTGTCGGGACGGCCTCGGGGAGCATCCGCAGGCTCGAAGATGCCCGCAAGGAGCCCGCGGAGATGCACGGGAGCTCCAAGCCCAGACCCCCTCGAGTTATGAAAAAATCACGACGGGAGGTTCTTCATTATTTTTGGCCTTTGGGGGCCCTTACCGGCCCTCGGGACCGTCAAAAAACGATTCAGGACGAAAAACCGGTCCCGGGGAATGGGTCGAGACCTCAGGGGGTCGACGTCATGAAAAAATCATGACGTCGGGGGTATGGGAGAGAGGCGGTAAGAGACTTGTTTTTTTGATCGCAAGCGCACCGGGAGACGCCAGACGCCGCCCAAGCGTCGTAGCTAGCGGGCTACGCACTAAGTTGCGCACCAGGAGGGGGAAGAGGGAGGCAACGGGAGGAAGCGGAGGGAGGAGCAGACAGGAGGCGGGCCTCGCAGCCGCTCCGAGGAGGGCGCCGACGACTGGGGGGAAGCTGCAAGCCGGCGGCCAAGGAGGAGGAGGAGAAGGAGGAGAAGGAGGAGAAGGAAGAGAAGGAGAAGGAGGAGGGCGAGGAGGGCGAGGAGGAGGAGGAGGAGGAGGAGGAGGAGGACCCCTTCAGTGCAAGCACTGATTGGGGAGTGATCCTGGCCCGTCCCAGATGCCGGCCAATGATCGTACACTGGCTTTCCACCGTGCTGAAGAAGTATCCTGTGCAGGGTCTTCCGGCTTTCACCCTGCGGCGCTTCCGGGCCTGCGCACGTCAGAGGGGACGCGGCGAGCCGGACTGTCGCTGCTGCTCTGCAGCTCTCGCCGCGGGTGGCCGACGCGTCGGCCGCAGAGCCGCGCCGTGCTGCGCCGTGCCGTCCGTGGAGCCTGCAGCGCGCGGCTGCCGTCGTGCCCGCGCGCCGTGCCGTGCCACGTCTGGGGCCTGCGCGGAGTGCGTCGGTGCGCACGGCGCGGGGCCTCCGCGCGCCCTGTGCTGCACAGGCCTCGCATCGCTCGGACGTGTGCATTTTTCCTTCGGCGAGGACCACCGAGGAGCATCCTCGATCATTTGGCGGGAAAACCACAAACGAACCCGAACAAAAACACGGGGACGTCCCGTGCGACTGCCTTTGCGGCCGGTGCCCGGCAGCGGGCTCTCCGAGGACGGAGTCGTCGCGGGCACGGTCCTGCAAGGGGCGCGCGGGTCACTCTTCGAGGGAGGGCGTGCAACAGGTGCACGGCGGCGAGGCGGCGAGGCGAAAGCGTCTTGGAATTTTCGAGGGGCCATTGACATCAGCCTCCCCCCCCCCTCCATCAGGGTCCTAGCAAGAAGAGCCTTGTTGGGCTTCACCCAGCAGCGAGATAATCAGGCCCTTTGGGTCCTCCTGCCTAGTGCTTAGTAATGATATCGGCTAGATTCCGGATGGGAGTTCCCCTATTGATTTTTCACGCAAGCACGAATTATCCCGGCCGAAACCAGATCCAGGCCCCCTGATCCCAATGGTTTTCCACGTGCGGGGCAATTCCCCGCAGCGTTTTCCCGATGACCACCCTTCGGTGATTCTGGGCCTCTGCATCTCAGAGGGAACTTCTGCCACGACGAGTTGAAGCATCCGAACAGGGCGCTAAGGCTGGGCCCTGCGAGCTGGGCCTCTGCATCTCGGAGGGAACTTCTGCCACGACGAGCTGAAGCATCCGAGCAAGGCGCTGAGGCTGGGCCCTGCGAGGCCTCCCGGGGCCCTGCGGTGGAGCTCTTCGGTTCCTGGTTCCTGTGCTTCTGGAGCAGGGGCCCAGCCGTCGGGGGCGGCAAAGGGGGCGGTGAGGGCTGGGGTGCGTGTGGATATCGCAGCGGGGGCCACGACATCTCCCCCGATTTCATGGCGCCTCTTCTTCTTTCAAGAAGTCCCCCGGCCCCCCCCCCCTGGGCCGCGCACATGCCGCCGGCCATGATTTGCGCCCCCCCCCCCCTCTTGGGCGTCCCCCTCTCGGCCGCTCCCGAGAAGGGGCCTGGCCAAGCAAGCCCAGAGAGTTTCGAGAGCCCTTCAGTTGTCGGGTGCCGCCGATCTTTGTCTCTCTGATTGCGACCAGGCTTTCGGATGCTTTCTGGCTGGGCTGATCAAAGATGATGCTCGTGAGCTTGGCAGGGAGTTTCGCGAGCGCCCTTCACGAGTTCCCGAGGAGGACGATGATCTTTTCACCTAAGGAGGCCTTGTCGCTGGCCTGCGGGGTGGTCTGTGCCCAGCCACCCTGCATTGCCAAAAAGGTCCTCTCCGATGGGCCCCCCCAGGGTTTTTGGAACCGTCCGACCTCTCTCTCTCTCTCTCTCTTCCCTTCAGTGGCGTTCGATCCTCCTCCTGCTCCTCCTGGGACTGGGACTGCGGACGGCTCCGTTCCAGAAGCTGGCGCCCTCGTCTGTTCCTCCTCCCCCTCGACCCTCGGCTCCTCTGGCCGCTGCCCACATCCCGCAGGCTCTCGGGCCCAAAACCCGCTGGCCACGGCCTTCCCTCTTGCACCGAGTTGCTCCACACCGTCCTCTCGTCCGCGCGAATGGCCGCCGCGCGCGTGGAGGCACAGATGGGTCTTCAGATGCACGGCGCCGAGGTGCTGGTCGTTCGGCGCACGTTTCTCGAGCTGGTTGAGGAGAGCACCAGCCAAGCCCTGGAGGGGGCTGTCAGGCGGGCGTCCTCCGCACCGGTGGCGTCGGGCAAGATGGGCGAGGCGCCCGCGATGGAGCGGAAGGATCACCAGGAAGGAAAGCCATCTTGGAGGTGAGGCAATCAGGCTGGAGGAGGAGGAGGAGGAGGAGGAGGAGGAGGAAGTCGAGAACTGGGGGTGGGACGTGGGGAGCAAGGGCAGCACGGGCGAACACGGCGACCCGTTGCGGCTGCTCTGGCTCAAGGCCGAGCGACTGAGGCCTGCGCGCGGCGGCGCGGGCCTGCGACCGAGGGCGCGGACATCGGAGAGAGCTGGTGCGGCTGTGGCGCCAGCGTCGGGAGGAAAGGCCTCTCGACTTGGTAGCGGAGCTCTGGTCCACCACGGACTGGAGTCTCCAGTATCACCACTGCGCGACGAGGGCTGGGCGTTCCCAGCCACGAGTAGGTCATCGAGGTGACCAACGGCGAGCAAACGGTATCCATCGAGGTGGAATGCGACCACTGCTCGAACCACGAGGCTGGCTTTTAGCCGGCCATCTTCTGACAGTGCCTTTGGCTGGATTGCTCCTCCCAGATAAGATGGAGAGCATACAGCTCGAGGTGATGGGCTCCCTGAAGGTCCCGCCCGCATGGAGTCCCGAGCAGGACAGGTCCTCCCCGTTCAGGTTCTGGTTCACGGACGCCACCATGTGGGCGGCTGCGGCGGCACGAGAAGTCCTTCCAGAACAACAAAGACCGGCGGTGGCCCTGCGGCTGGGAGGCGCTGCGCGCAGCCTGGTGGGGGAGATACCCCAAAAACAGCTACGTGACGGAGCATTCGCAGACCCAGGCGACGGGAACGGAGCGAAGCAGCTGAGCGGTCTACAGTTGTTTTGGCTTGTGTTGTCGAAATCGTGCGCGCCGCTGGGTGACGAGAGTGAGCTGCGTGCGACCCACGACCTGTGGGGACTTCATCGGAAAAGCCGCGAGAACATAGACCAGACGATGTCGAGGTTGGGAGGATTCAGTATGGGACCGCAGGGCTACGCGTGGATGTTGCTGAACGCTCTCAACTGCAGCCCTCAAGAATGGAACGAACTACTGATCCACTTCCGCGGTCACCTACCCAGGACGGAACAACAGTTCAATGAGTTGGTCGAGTATATCACTGGAAAAGGGACCAATGGCAGTGAACAGGAGCAGCGGCAAAGGCGGATACAGAGGCGGCAATTTCTTCTTCCCCACCTTCATCCTTGGTGGCGGCGGAGGACAGCAAAGCGAAGGACACGATGGAGGCTTTGGATTTGGGACCGGAAATGGCATGTCACCGTCCGGAGCCTATCCCGCCACTCAAGAAGTACAACGATCGGGACGGAGTCCTTCGGTCCCGTGGTCGCCGACAGCAGGCCCATCCGACCCGTGGGCCAATTGTCTGGGTTCGGATAGCGCCGAAGACAGCGACACGGACACAGATGTAGATGACGGCAGAGACCTGGACGGTTCGGATTTCCCCGGACCCATGGGCAAGGACGACGACGTGATACAGCAGTACCTCTACAATAACTACGTGTTACACAAGAAGCGCTGGATGATATTCGCCGGACGGCCCACACGTTTCCAGCGTTTCAGTAAATGTAAGAGTGGAAAAAAAGGATCACTGATACCGTTCCGAGGGGCCTTCGGACAACGAGGACATGGAGGAAAAGGCGACCATTTTGAAGGAAAAGGCAGACGTAATCTGGTGGGTCGAGATGGCAAGGTGATGAAATCCTTGACGAAGGGATGCGAAATCGAGTTCCACCGGGTGAGGGACTGCCCGCACCGTCAGGGCGGTAATAAAAAGAGAAAGGACCGCTTATCACTGACGGACCTCGTCCGGTTGCTGGAGCTAGCGCCCGAGTGCCATGGTTTGGATTCAACGCAGGCACCGCGGCCAACTCCTCTGGGGTAGCAGCGTCATTCCCGAGCACGTCGTCGGTGCCAGCCTACGGCTCTGGAGCCATCAATTTTTTCGCGGCAGAGAGCATCGTCGCCGACGAGAAGCCAGGAGCCCCTGATTGCAAGGCGAGCGTGACAGGCTCGAAAGGATTTGTTGGAGTTGTGATTTCACTGGCTACACTAGAAACGAAGATGGCGATTGAAGATCGATGTGGGCTGGAAGACGGACCCAAGGCGGTCTTGTCGAGCGCCGCTTGGGAACCCCCCGTCGAGACCGAGCGGGCCCACGCCATCGGCAAGTGGAGGAGCAGCCTGTCCTATCATGGGCATGCCGAGCGCGAGCGAGTCGAGGGATATGACGAGCACCCCAGGACTCGCCCCGGACAAGCCAACCTTTGGACTTGATCACATATTTAGCCTATCCTCTATCTCAACGGCTGCCGGAGAAACCGCTGGGGCCAAACCGCTGAGTCCTCGAGCTCCGCCGTCAGACGTGGTTTCGCCGACAACAGCTACGCCGACAACGACCCCGACAATGCCAGAAGGACTGAGAAGGTCCGACGCCAACGAGAAGGAATTCCAGCAGGAGGCGGCCCGTAGCATCGCCAATCTCACGTTCGCAGCGGCCCCATCGAAAGCGTCGGTCACACCGCCGAGCGCGAGCGGCGCGGCGTCCAGCTGGGAGCAGGTCTCGAGCTCACCAGGCGATGATGCTCGCGCGGATGTCGTTGCCGGGCCGCAGGTGGACTATTCGATCTTCGATGGCGAGTCCGAGAGCTACTTCGACTTCGAGGAGGAGCGCAACTCGGACGAGGAGGTTGAGCGCGAGGGCCACGACCAGCACAAGAGCATCGATTTCGCGGACAATGAGAAGGACTTCCAAGGAGTTGTTTGGACGCTGAACACGGAGAGCGAGACGCATTACCTGGGACATGAACGGACGAGGCTTGACAACGGGGAACTGAGCATTCTTGTTGACCTGGGAGCTCACGGGAACGTCGCGGGAGATCGGTGGGCTAAGCGGCAGGCCGCCAAGGCATCGTGCTTTGGACACAACGCAGAAGAGATGATGCTGAACGCGCCCCTGGAGGTTCACGGCGTCGGCAAGGGCCTCGACCGCCGCCGCCAGCAATGGCGACTACCGATTGGCGCGCAGGAGATCAGCCAAGATCGCGAGGGCGCCAGCAACCTGGAGTCGCGCACGGCGCCCATCATCCCCGATGGCGACGTCCCGGCACTGCTGGGGAACAGTTCCCTGGAGAAGCTTGACGCCATCCTGGAGTGCGGCCCTGGTATCCCACGCCTATGCGGACCAGGGCGTCGAGGGCTGTCACTACCTGCCGGCGCGAGGAGCTACCACCTGAAGGCCAGCAGGAGCGGACATTGGCTACTTCCGCGTTCGAAGTCCAAGGAGGTTGCTGCGACGAAGGCGACGGGATACATGATCGACAAGTTACAGGCGGAGCCCGAGCAACTCTGCTTCGTGATGCTCGAGGCCGAGAGCGAGGCCCGAGGGCCATTGTAGCCGAGGCCCCGCCGTCACGAGATACGGAGCGGCGCCAGGCAGCTCGGGGCGGGGAGCGGCGCGTCGCGCGAGATCCAGGGCGACGGCCGCATCCAAGCTCGCGGCGGCGTTCACGCAGGAGACGGCTCACAAGGGGGTGCGCGTCGAGGACGAGTCGCCGACTGCGCCTTCAGAGCACCAGTGAGGGCGCAGGGCTCCGGTCGCGGCGGCCGGAGCAGCTGCTGGGCGCCGTTGGGCGACGCCGCTACAAGTGCAGGTTATTGGCCGTCGTCCTTGTTTGGCCACTTCGATAAGAGCTGCGAGAGAAGGAGGCTGGCCAATTGCACAAGTGCTGGCCTACGATCAGGCATGCGGCAGAGAGATTCGAGACTTCAAACTGCATCTCACGGAATGAAGTTTCCGATTGCTTTGGGCCGATATGCCTGGGCGCCGCGGGGCCGAACGAGGACGCCGCCCACGGCAACGCCTGCGGTGCGTTGAGGAACGCATTCGAGCACAAGCGGCTCGAGGTGGAGAAGCCACGCTGGCTGCTGAACGTGGAAGCGCCACGTGGGCGGTTCCGACGGTCATGCGGCTGCGGCCGAAGGTGCCCCACGAGGCGGATCTCCACTGGCGCTTCTTTGACGTGCCCGCTCCAGACGAGTCTGGCGAGCACGGCTGGAGCGACCGGGTCGACCGCGTCCGAGTGTCTTTCCTGGTCAAGGCGAAGCCCTGCGCGCGCCAAGGCAAGGGACGACGGCACAAAAGCGATTGGAGGAGCTCATCAGGCAGCGGCCAGCGGAAGCAACAACGAGACGAGCATCATCTTCAGTGCATGGTGGCAATGTTTCGGGAGATAAACGACGCCCTCGATATTGGGGGTAACCGTTCACCACCAGAGTCGAGAACTGAGACTGATGCGACTGCGGACATCCGACAAGAAAGCTCATACCCGAAGAGGCCAGGATGCGCGCTAATATGGAGGCCCTGGTCGACATGCCGAAAGAAGCAAAGAGAAATAAGTTCGAGATGGAGAATCACTTCGACGACTGCGGTTACTCAATCAAGGGATTGGTTATTAGCAACGAGCTCTTCGCGATTTACGAAGGATACGAGCCCTACTCAGATGACGACGACTACCTTGTGCTCTTCACCGAGGAAGAATTCTACGATGGCGGATGCTACACCTTGTCTTCGCGGACTTGCAGGCGACGATGGAGCTGCGTGGTGCGAAGGCCCGGGGGTCCGTAGGGGCGCCAACCTCGCGCATTTTGTCGCCTTCCTTGCGAAGACGATGTCTGGCATGGACGTTTCGGAATTCTGCGGTGGAAGAGGCTACGTTGCGTCTGCAGGGTATATCAGGTCGGACCTACTTGTGATATTATGTGCGGCACGGACCTTCGGAATGAGGACGAACAGTGGTCTCTCTGGGGATATTTGGAGCGTGGCGGGATGGTTGTGGTGATGGCCCCTCCGTGCACTCCCTGCGGTCGCTTCTCGAGTATCAACATGTTCAACGCTGGAGACAGCTGGGTGAAGATCTACGAGAGGTGCCAGCCTCCGGCCATTCTGTGCGGAGAGATGGCCCTCTACCAGCTGGAGCGCGGGCGAGGCTTCATTAATGAGAGTCCAGCTGGGTCCAAGCTATATCATGAACCACCGTG